ACCCCTTGACCTTAGAGGAAGTAGGATGGCCCAGGACATCTGTGCCTGTGTTGGTCGGGGAGACTTCTCGGCGGAGGTGGGCTGAGGGATTAGGAGGGTGAGCTTACAGGTGGTGAGGACAGGATCTCTAGGCTGAAGGAGCAGCATGTGTGACAAGCCCCTTGGTGTGGTGGGTATGCACCACACCAAGTGCTGGGGGGGGCAGATGGGCAGAGGGTGGGTCAGAGCCTGAAATTAGCAGCAGGCAGACGGGGCCAGGACGCGGTGGAGAGGGAACATAGAGGAGAAGCCCGGGGAGGATAAAGTGCACGGGGCACAGTGCATGTGTATGTGTGCACATGTGTGTGTGTGTGTATATGTGTGTTGTGTGTGGTCGGCGGGGGTAGGGCAGCATCCTCAGACTCCAGCCAGCAACCCTGCACACAGATGCCTGCCTGGCGTCCCCACCAATGCAGACGCCCCGGCACTAGAGTGTCCAAAACCTGCCGGGGCAGGAGCAGCTGCTTCTAAATCAAGGCCAAAGGCAGCCAAGGGGCCAGGCTGGGTTCCGTGGCTCTGCACGGGCTGAGGTGGGGGTGGGGGCAGAGAGGGGCTCTTAGGCAGGGATCTGGGGCCCAAAGCAGCTAGGCTGGTTTGGGGAAGTTTATTTTGGAAGCTTGGATGATGCAAAATTAAGTGGGCAGGAAAAAATAGATGAGGCGGCCGCGAGGGTCTGTCTGTGGCTGGCGGGGCTGCAAGTGTCCAGGAGAGGAGCTGTGTTGGGTAAACAGATGGGGGTGGCAGCTTTTCTGCATGTCCGCTATAAATATCCCACTGCTCACCGCCCCCGCTGGGCTTTCCTGGCACCGTGGGTGTGGAGATCAAGGTGCAGACACGGGGCAATTCCGGAGTGGCAGAGGGTGGCCAGGCTGCTGCTCTGATCCCAGCCCCCAGGCTGGAGTGGATGCTGGGAAATGAGGCTGAGGCCCAGGGCTGGGCAGGAGGTGCTCTTCTGTGATGTGGCTGTGGGTCTCAGGCTACCTCTATGAGCCTTAGATTCTTTACCTGTAAGACGAAGATGACTGTCTTGGGGGGACACAAAGGAAATGCATTTGCATGATGAAATCTCTTCGGTGCTGACTCTTAGGTGTGATCCGGCAGATTTGCTCACCTCTCTGAGTCTTAATTTCTGCATCTAAAACATGGGCAGAAGAACCATGGTCTGGAGGCTGGATTTGAATTGTGTGGGTGGCAGCAGATTGCAGATAAGTGGGATTTTGGCAGACACTGCGGGCCAGGCTCGAGCTGTCCCCATGGACCTCTCCCATCTCTGTAATATTACTGCACTTAATTTGTGACGACAATCGCAGCCATGCCCACAGCTGACAAAGTTTTGCTATATAGTTCACAATGGTCTTGAACTCACTATGTAGTCCAGGCTAGCCTCAAACTTGCAGCAGTCCTCCTGCGTCTGCCTCCCAAGTGCTGGGATTACAGGCATGCACCACCGTGCCTGGGGCAAGTTCATTGTTATCTCAGTTCATTTATTCAACTTCTTCACTTCACACATAAAGACTGAGACTCAGAGAGAAGGGACTGCACAAACTGGGACTCACGAGAACCATCAGTCAGTAAATATTAAGTAAGCCAGGTGTGCTGGCGCACACTTGTAATGACAGCTATTCAGCAGGCTGAGGCAAGAGGATTATGAATTTGAGGCCATCCTGGGTAACTCTGCAAGACCTTGTCTCAAAATAAAAAGGGTTAGAGAAATAGCTCATTGGTAAAAGAAAAAAAAAAAAAGAGAGAAACTATTCATTGAAGATCAGCCGCATGTAGGCCTCAGCCTAGAAGTTGGGGATTTATTGGAAAACAAGGCAGATGCAATCCATGCATCCACTCAGAGCATGGTGAGGAAGACAAACTATATATAAACTGATGAACAGAGTAATCCACAGATGAGCATCTAGCACCCAGCTTGGCTTGGGTGCCCTTCGTTCTGCCTTTTTAACAGATGTGTTTGGCCTCCTCCTGGGACTGAGGAACTTTGTAATCCAGCTGCCCATAGCACTAGTCTCAGCGTTGCGTGGTGCCTGCTGATGTGAATTAAGAACATACAAATCCAGCTCATCAAAGCATGTCCAGACCACTGCTCTGTGCAGACCAGTGCCAGTCTCCGGTGAGCCAGGCCCGGCTAGGCTGACTGCAGAGAAGATTTGAAGGCATTGCCTTGCTCATCCAGGACCATGTTTGCCTGCACAGCTCAGCAGCGGGACCCTGGCCACAGGAAGGACAGGCATCTTGCCTTTGTTCCTTGTGTCCCATCACAAAGACGCCTGGCTGGAGTTGCAGAGGAGAAGGGACAGGGCTTTTAGCCTCAGCTTTGCAATCTTGAAGCCTTGGGAGTCTTGGGGATCTGTTTCATTATTTTCTCTCTCTGAGCTTCAGTTTCTCCCTCGGTGAGGGGCTCTGAGGGAAGAGAACATGAAAGACTTAAGGCATGTTGTGCATGTGTACCAACTCCTCAAGGTGAAGGTGGTCAGTTGCACTGCAGACGTGTGCTACTAAAAAGAAACTTTTAAAAGAAAAAAATAAGTAGGAGGCTCAGATTGGGAACATGTGGGCTTGGATGCCCCGCACTTCTCCAAGGTGTCCCTTAGCTTGTCGTTGGGCCAACAAAGGCACAGTCAGGAGCTGCGATCTCTTTGAGACTGGACGGGAACCAGATTTGTGCTCCAGCCCCCTTGGAGACTTGGGATACTGGCTGACTGCAGGTTTCTACCCACAGCAGGCAGGGCTGGGCTGGAGAGCTGGCAGTGAAGATGACTCCATCGGCCACCAGGGTCCCCGGATTGAGGAGACAGGGCTGCCTTCTCTGTTTCTCCCCTCTGCTCAGTCTCTTTTCCTCTAACTTGGGGGAAAAGTTGTATGGCAGTGATGGGCTGCTAACAAGTGTCCAGATCCCCTGTAGGACTGTGTTTCTCACAACCATGAAGTTAGAGGTGGCTGTGTGACTGGATTTGGCCAACAGAATGTGACTGCAGCCAGCACCCAGCAGGATGGTGGTGACGTGGTCCTTGAGAGAGAACACCTGGAGCAGACACCTCTCCACTTCCGACTGTGGAGTGGGAGGACAGTTAGACCTTCAGAGCTTTCGGCCACTGAGGTTCTGGAGTTGTTGGTTACTGTAGTGTACCCTGGGGCATCCTACTGATAGTTTCTGGAGAAGGGGACAGATGAGGATAGCAATGGAGATGCAGCCTTGGGGTTGGCTAGTTAATCTTCACTGCCTTCCCTCATATTTCTCATATATTTATCCACCCATCTATCCATCATCCATCCATCCAGCCAGCCATCTATCCGTACATCCGGGGATTCAAACCTAGGACTGCTTGATCACCAAGGCCCATCTTCCCTATTATGCTGGGCTGCTTCTTTGGAGACCGTGCTCTTCTGTCTGTCTACCTGAATCCTCTTTGTCCACAAAGACCTTCTAAATGGTTCTTCTTCCAGTGAGCTGTCCCTGACAGCCCCCAGGCCCTTGGTTGGCACCTACCTTTACCATCCCAGTCATAACTGCACTTTCCTAAGGAGAGCCAGAGCACCTTGCAAATTTTCCAGCAGTAACACTGGGAACTCAATTGGCTGGAATGGCCCTAAATTAATTTGTCTGTTTTTAGGTTGGGTCATCTTAGAATTGTGTCCTAGCATCATAATAACACCTTCACCCCCTCCAAAAGTCTAAACTTGGGAGTTCACCCTAAACCTGGGTCTTGCTTTGGAAAAGACGAGGAACCCTTGATGTGGAGAAATGGGGTTTTAGTAACATTGTCAAATGCTAGCAGGTCAGAGGAGTGCTCAGGTCTGCTGTTTCCTGCAGGTTCCCCCAGAACCCCTCACTGGAGTACCAGGAGAGTGGGAGCTCCCTCGGCTTGCAAAGCAAGGTGCCTAGCGTCGGTGCATGGGCTCTGCAAGCAGACAGCAGGTTGACTCTCTCTCTACCTCTGTGTGGTCCCTGCCTGAGCAGAAATCTCACTTCTGTGAGCCTCGGAGTTCACATCTGTAAAATGAGTTTCCTAGGGTTATAGTGAGAATGCAATGGGAGAGTGAAAGTGTATCAAGTACCCAGCACACAGTAGGTGTTCAATCAATGACTGTGGCTCTGTGCCCTGGAAAGGACCGCATTCAGGGGCCGAGATTTGGTGGCTGGAGTTGGTGTGATGGTGGTGATTATGTTTCTGAACTGAGCGAACACAGTTCCTCTTATGGAGAAGGCTCATGCCCTAGGCTAAATGTTGGGGCCAGGTTACAGTGCACAGTTGAACCTAGATTTATTGGGGCAGGGGAATTATTCTCTTCTACAACTCCTGCTGTGTTCTGAAGTTGGCAGAGTAGGACGTGATCCTGAGAAGCTACAGATGGTGCAACTGAGGCTTAGAGAAGCTGGGGGACAGCTAGTTGAGATTAGATTCCAGCCCAGGTTTGTGGCCACTCCAACCCCTGGGCTCTTGGCAGTATGCATGGTGCTCAGGCCTCTGTCCTGGTCACTAGTCCCACTGCCAGCCAAAGTCCACAATGACAGTCCCTGCGGTGTAGGCAAATCCTCTCCGGCTCTCACAGGGGCTGCCTGGCCGTGGGATCTGGCTGGGGCAGCCAGGGGCCTGAGTGTAGGCTCAGGTTTCTCTTTACTTTCTGGGACACACTGGCCAAAGGAAGAGGCCCACATGGGCAGTGGTCAGCAAGTGGCAGTGGCACTGGAGACTCTGTGGGTGCCCCAGCATCTCCTCCTCCCCAGGATCCTTTTATTCCGGACTCTTCACTACAGCCTCTGTCCTCATGGGGAGAGCATTAGCCCAAGGCATGTAGACTTGGTGGGGGCCCCGCTCCCGGTTGTGGAGATTGTAACCTGGGGTTTCGGCTAGGAAGGGCCACTTGTCCAAGCCTGGGGTGGGGGAGTCCAGACACCCTGTGCAGGGCTTTCTTATTTAGCCAGCTACTAGGAAGTGCTTATTTCTCACCAGGATACCAGTTGGTTCCCCTGGGAAGTGGATTCAGATGATCTGAAGGCAGAACATCCAGGAACTTGGAGACAGCACAGTTCTACAAGGTGGACTCGCTCCTCCTGTGTGCCCCGTGTTGGGGTCTAATGTGTTGCGGCTTCTGGAGAGGAGGGACAGTCCTGATTCTCGCCAAGCCTCAGGTACAGTAACCCTGGGCAGGATGGAGAGTTTGGCGCCAGGGGACACTCCTGGCTTCCCATCAGCCCTACTCTGGGATGACCTTGGGAAGGCTGACTGGAGCCTTGGGCCGAGCCCACTCCCTCCGGGGCCTGTTTCTGTGCCTTCCTGTTGCGGTTTGGATTTGGGAGAAATGCTCTGGCCTTGAACTCCTCTCGGCAGGCCCCATGTGAAGTTCCAAGTTTGTTCAGCCGTTTTGGGCTCCTGGTGGCTGGGAGCTGGGCTTCAAGCAAAGTCCAAGCTGACCGCAGGTTTCCAGGGTGACTCCGGAGCTGATGGGCCTATTTACATGTGGTGGTGCTGGGTCACCACTTCCTCCATGCTTGCTTCGGGAAGGATTTGCTCCAGGGAAGGGAGCGGGGCCTTCTCTATACCTCAGTTCTCATCCTCCCTTCTCCTGGTCCCTCGGAGTTAGGGGGACCAGGGGACCAAGGATGGCAGTGTTGCCAAGTGGTTAGAACACTGGTGCTACTGGGCCCATGTTTGAATCCCATGTTTGAGGTTTCAGATAGAATGTCCTCTTCTCCAAAAGCCTGTTCCTGATACTGCGGATTTTTTTCTTGTCCTTATCATGTTTACCACAGTCTCTGCATATATATAATTTTCTTTTTGGTGTTACTAGAAAGGAAGCCTAGGGCTTTTGCACTGAACTATGTACTCGGCCCTTTTAAAATGTTTCTGAGACAGGGTCTGGCTAAGTGGCCCAGACAGGGCTCAAACTTGCCATCCTCCTGCCTCAGCCTCCAACTCCTCCGATTACAGATGTGTACCACCGTACCTGGCTTGTCTTATTGTCTTATCTCCTTAAGAGGACGACAGCTCTCTGAGGCTGGGGGGCCTGTCAGCTCTTTCATGGAACCCTTAGTGTCTCCAAAGGACCCAGCCCCACGGTGGGTGCTCAATAAAAAGATGCCAAATCAATCAAGAATGGGGTGTGTTCTTTCTCACGTTGGTTCTCAGACTTCAGGAACGTTGCAGTGCCCTGGGGCGCTTGTCAGGCATGCTTAGCCTGTGCCAGACTCTGACTCAGTGGGTCTGGGCTGGGCAGGAATGTGCAGCTGGGCCAGGGGCCACCTCCTGGGAAACACTGTTGGTCTCGAGATGTTGGCCTCGCTGGGGCCCAGGGCACGGGGGCAGGACCGAGCCTAAGATGCGTGCACGGCTTCCACTCCCCATCTGGGAGTCTCTGCCAAAGGTGCTGGCAGCAGGAGGGTCTTTAGAGGCCTCAGCTGGGGTTGTCGGAAGGTGTGGTTTCTCCACCTTGCCGGTGAAACCAAGCTTTCTCTCCATTTGTGGCTGGGCCCCCAGGTTCCCAAAATTCTTCAGGGAATGGAAGGGACTGGTCTGTACTTGCTCTAGATCTGGGCACGCCAGACCCTGTCTTGACCCTGGACCCTGCTCTGACCTTCTGTGGGCCTTACCTCATTCCTCAGGGTAAGGGACCCAGGAGCTGTGCTCACTCAGAGCTCCAATCACACCCCTTGTCGGACACAGCCTGGATGCTGGGCTGACCTGCGATTGCTCCACACCCATGTGACCCTCCCTGAGTCTCTCTTCTGCTGAGATGGGGACTGAGAGCTGCCAGGTCAGGGGTAACCAAGGAGCGGGGATCTGAGTGTCACAGATGGGGCAGGCTGAGCTGAGGTGGGAAGAGGAGGGACATAGGCCGAGCAGGGGCCTTCGTGACTTTGTTCAGTTGTATTCGTCTCACCAGCGCCATGCTGGGTCCTGGGGCAGGACTTGCCTTCTCTCACAGTCCCCTGAGCTCACAGCCCACGGTGTGCCTGTAGACAGGCGAGGGCGGGCAGTGAAGAAGGCAGATGCGTTCATTCTGCCCTGTGTCTCAGTCATTTTGCTGCTATAACAGTATCAGAGATGTGGTGATTGATAAGAAGCAGAAACTTACTACTCACCATCGAAGAGGCTGGGGAGTCCACAACCGTGGCCTTGGCCTCTGGTGAGGGGCTTTGTGTGGTGCCTTCTCACGGCAGAGATGCAAGGGCCCAAGCAACCCTGAGGCCTTGCACAGAGCAAGGGAATGAACCCGCTCTGCAAGCGTTTTTCTAATGTCAAGAATCATTTCACGCTTGTGGTGCTCTGGTGACCTGCACACCTCCCAGGCTGCTGCGTGGAGCTGCGTTTCCAACACAGCCTCCTCCCGGCCTCCAAGCCCAGGCTCAGGGCCCAGGACTTGTCGCTCAGCCCACAGTGCCTGGCCGGTTGCACTGGCTGATGAAGGCTGGGTTTTGGCAGGTGATGCAGTGAAGGTGTGTGTGGGGTATCCTGAAAGGCTCTGAAGCCTGTCCCCGAGAGGGTGAGGACAGGTCACATCCGGGCACTGTGGCCATTAGGGTGTCAGCAGTATTGGGGGACAACCTGGGGGCTCGTCAGGCCCCATAAACATCATCAGCCCTCCCAGGGCCTCACCAAATAAACACCAGGCAGGTTGGTGGAGGTGCCGACTGCACCTGCAGGGCCAGCACCCACCCTCTGGCTCCTGTCCAACCAGGTGGCTGCTGCTGGAAGGCCCAGGCCTGGCTGAGGCAGAGTCTCCAAGCTCAGGAGGACCCGTAGGACAGGCAGGCTTGTAATGTCCCCTCAGGACGAAGGTATGCTCTCAATGTCCCTGAAGGATAGTAATGAGTTCTCAGTGTCCTCTCAGGACAAGGCTGGGGCCTCAGTGTCTTGTCATTGTACCCTGAGGACAAGGAAGAGCCCAGGATCAGGGTCCCTCTGGTCCTTTGGTATTTCTTCGGTGCCAGACAGGACATGCCTTGCACGGTCGGCCATGACAGCCTAAAGGAAGCAGTCTTCCTCCTGCTGCCTGTGCAGTGACCAAGGATCAGAGGAGATGTGACTTGCCTGAGGCCACCAAGTTGCCCAAGAGGCAGAGTGGGGCTCAGCCCCAGCTGTCTGTGTCCCCCAGCCTGAAGGCTTGCTCCCTAATGTGGTCTGGGTGCTTGCAGGCCTCAGACAGCATAACCAGGAGCTGGCAGGGGGAGCTCTGACTGGAGGCTCCCCTGGGCACACAGAGGGCCTGAGTGTGCAGCTTGGGGAGCTGGGTGGAGGGGTAAGAAACCCAGCCTGGCCATGCCAGCCCCCAGCAGGAAACACCTTTGCTTGTTTGGCCAGGCTGTGGGCAGAGGGCAGCTGTGCAGGGCGGCCATGCCACCCACCGGAGATGGTTTCTAAGGGCAGAGGGTAAACAGTCACCTTGGCTACTTGGGCGTGCCATGAGGGCTGGTGGGCCCACTCTGGAATATTCCGGGAAGTGAGGAAGGAAGCTGGGGCCTCATGTGCTGAGAACAACCGTGGAGGGCTCAGGAGGAGGCCGGCCTCGGCTGGGCTGGCTCCCCACTGAGGATGCTGGACAGCAGGGAGGTGCTGCCCTACCCAGACTGCGCCATCCTGGACATAGGGAGGGAGGGAAGGAGAGACAGAGAGAGGGAGAGAGAGGGAGAGAGAGAGAGAGAGAGAGAGAGAGAGAGAGAGAGAGAGAGAGAGAGAGAAAGAAAGAAAAAAAAGAAAGACTCTCTCTCTCTCTCTCTCTCTCTCTCTCTCTCTTTCTCTTTCCTTCCTTTTTTGTACTGGGGATAGAACCCATGCTAATCAAGTGCTCTAGTCTCTCTCTCTCTCTCTCTCTCTTTTGAGACAGAGTCTTCCAATGTAGTTCAGGCTGGCTTGAAATCACAGTGGTCCCACATGCTGGGATTATAGGCATGGGCCACCACATCCAGTTTTTTATTTTAAGACAGGCTGGAGGCAAAAATGATGCATTCCATTCACAGCTGATATCTGAGGACCAGTCTCTCAATGCTTGTTTAATTGTGACTGACAGGGTAAGATCAAAGAAAGGGGGGAATCTATGAGCTAGGAGTATCAAGGGAGGCCTCACGGGGACCTTACAATTTTTTGGGGGTTCCATCAATTTTTGCTGTAGCTGCGGAGTGTCCATGTGGCCTTAGGACAGGGCTCTGCAGCACTAGGAGAATTAACTGGCCTAGGACAAGAGGGACTAGGCTGTCATGAGGGGGAGAGCAAGAGATGAACAGGTGTAGTTACATGACTTGGGAGGCTGAAGCAGGAGGATCACTGTGAGTTCAAGGCCAGCCTGGGCTACGTAGTGAGTTCAAGGCCAGACTGAGCTACATAATGAGACTTTGCTTCAAAAAATAAATAAATAAAAAAGAGAAAGAAGAAAAAAAAAAAACAGATGAACAGGAAGGGGATGTGCAGGGAGGGGCAGCCCCTGTGGGCCTCTCAGTGGAGTGACAATGAAGTATTGGGGTTCCCTGGAGTGCGCTGGGGAGCCGCTGAGTAGTGACAAGTGAGGGGCGGCGATGCTGCATGTGTGTGCTACAGAGATCTCTGGCTATGCTGCTGAGAACAGGTTGAAGGAGAAGCAGGTGCGATGGTAGCAGGCCAGGCAGGAGCCGGCTCGGATGAGGGAGAGGCAGAGGGGACAGCGAGGGGCAAATGGATTTGAGAATATTCTGGGGATAAAATTAATAGACCAGCCTGGATGGCGGGAGGGGTGGGACCAGCTAAATGTTTTATAGACAGCTTGTCTATTTCCAGCTCGCTCGACAACCCCCGGAGTGCGAATTATTGACTTTCCTTTAAAAGCCCTGAAAACCGAGGCTCAGAGACATGAAATTACCTGCCTGAGGTCACATGGCTTGCGAGAGGCTGTCCGGATCCAAGCTCAGGTCTGCCTACCACCAAGGCATGTATTCTCCCTCCCAGCGTTCTCTCTGTTTCTCTCTCTCTTTCTGTCTTTCTCTACTCCTTGAGAAACAAGGGGCGGGTTTAGAGAGACCCGAGCTCCGCTCCCAGCTGAGGAGGCTCCTGCAGCAAATGACTTGCCCCAGGGTTCTGGAAAGTCCACTGCCAGAAGCTCGGCCCAGATGGCGAGGCAGAGAGAAGCTGGGAGGAGGATGAGTCTGGAAGGACACCGGCCCCTTCCCCTTTTGCCCCTGACAGCCGGGACGTGCTAGCCCTCAGTGTGTGTGTAGCTTGGGGAAATATCCAGCACGGACTCTGGAGTCAGGCCTGGAAGTTGAGTCCTGACTTAGGGACTTTTGTCCGTGTGGCCCTGGGTTCAGTCTCCAGTACTAGGAGAAAATACTTGCCTAGGCTTGGGGTCTTCTGAGCTCTGGTGCTCCCAGATCCACTTCCCAGGCTGTATTTTGAAGCCCGCCGATCCTCTTGTGCAGATGGCTGCAGGGCTCAGGGTGCAGGAGAGGCCTACAAAGACCACGGTTCCAAAGTCTCTTCTGCCAGCCTGGGGTAAGCATGACATCCAGAGAGTCACACAGGTTTCCCTGTGGAGATCCTGGCGTGGGGAGTCCCAGATGTAGGCTCTTGCAGACAAACACCCGGAGCATTTGCGGGAGGCAGTAGGCCCTGACACTGGCCTACGTCTGGCCACTTTGAACTTGAACCATTGCTCTTCTTGGCTCAGCCCGACTTGTATTCAGGACATTGTACTTGTCCACTGAAATCCCTCCCCAGCTGTGAGTGGCCAGGGGAGCTGTGCCCGACGGGGCTGTCTCAGTAACCAAGCCTCCCTGGATGCCTCTCCGGCCCTACGCTGTGACATTGGGTGACCACCCACCCTGGAGTCACTGAACCTTCCTGTGCTCTGTGAACTCAGGGAGTCAGAAGAGGCAAGACCACGCCCCCAGAGCTCACAGGGACACAGCGAGGCCCCTGACCTCTTACACCGTGTCACAACGGCCTGGACCTTTCTCCTTCTAGCTCTCAAGTGCCCTACAAGGTAGGGTGACGTCCCCATGTGGAGCCTGGCAGGATGTTAGTGCATCCTGGGTGCCCAGGGAAGTCCTGTTAAATACATGTGCTCCCTCTCCTGGTGTCTTCCGCAGGGCCTGGGGGACAAGCAGGCTGGGGACAAGGCAAGGAGAATGGATTTTGGGGTTTGATAGCCAGGTAATTTCACCCACTTTGCAAAATAGGGTTAACAAACCACCTTCCAAGTTTCTGTGACAATACATTAAACCCTATCACTCAGGCATGTGGAATGCTTAATAAGTTCGATGACAGAAGCTGCAATTATGATGAGTAATTAACTCGCATGTCTGTGGTTGCCCAGTGCAGCGGGCCTCTGGGTGGCTTGCCCGGGATCTGTCCTTTGGCCCCTCCCAGGTTTATTTGACTTTGGTTTGAGATCCGTGTAGTTCCAGGGACTTGAGATGCCGGAGAAGGGCAGGACTAAGTCAGTGAGTGCATTTCAACCTCTTGGCATCCTGACTAGAGTAGAGTTAGACACGCAACCCAGATCTATGGATCCTGCTTGGAATTCCAAGGCAAAGATGCCTCTCTGTCCTTGTCGTGGGAACTCCTGGCAACCTAGTCTTTAAAAAGGTCAGTCAAGTAAGATAAAGACATGGGCTCTTTGCTGAGATTGTTAAACTGCTAGATCAAGCCTTTCCTGAAGGACTTTTCAATAATGTGAGCATCTAATAAATCAGCTTTATTGTTTAAGGCTGCCTGAACTGACTTTTATGTTCCTTGTAACCGAAGTCATCCTTATGGGTACAGCCCATACATTTCTCCACCTTGTGTAACTGTCACTTCCTTTCTGTGGGTGGGGTGACACCAGCCCAGGCCACAT